GATTCCAAGGACTCTGTAGCATGTGCTTAAAAAACTGAAGGAAGTCACGGTCCATTCCTATGTCGAAATACGTTTTTATAAACAAAATTAAAATCGACTAAAACAGAACATCTCTCCTTGTACTAGGGTGCATGGTATTTTATAACTGTTTAGGACTCCTACAATTCATTGACTTGTTATCAATTAGGATCATGGGATTGAGACGAAAATCTTCACGACCATAATTAAAGATAAGTTAGGTGAGCCAGCTGGTAAAAGCCGTTGAGTCTTCAGTGGTCTGGGGACAAGTAAGATGATTACATGAATCTTAATTTTTTTTAAATGGAAACATCGCTTTTAAATGTTGGTTAAATGTTGGCAATAATATAAATAAATATTTACGAAATGAACTTACATGAAAATAGTTTTATAACCATTAAGCTAGTTAAGTAAAGGAGAAATACATTTTTATAGGTTTTATTATCTGTGGATTTTACAATGATTCACAGTTTATTTATCATCAACCATTCAGGGTGAGTCGGTAGTGACAGTATTTATTGGTTTTATATTTGTTTGCTCTCAAAGCTCTTCTGTTGGTTTTGTACGTATCAGCTTGTGATTATTGTGAGAAGTACTTTACAATTATTTGAATGAGGTAAAATGAGATTAGTTTCAGTAAGATATTAAAGGAAAGCTTGAACAATGTCAGAAGCCAGTGAAGGTAGATTATGAGAAGTATCATGTGACAGGATTCATACCCAGAAAAAATAAAGAATGTCATAAAAATCGTGAGATATTACCTGTTATCTGTAATTTCAATAGTGTTGAAGTCAGTTAGATGATGCCATTTTGATGATTTCAGCTTCCTCAATTTTTTCGTTATCACAACTTTACACCAAATGGGTTACTGTGAGTCACTAGGTCATATGATGTTTTTCATACACATTTAGGGATATATTTCTGGAAAAACATTGGAGAAGTGTTTTGGGACGCTCTGTTTGTGATTATTTCTTCGAAGCTCAAGGAAAGGTAAATGAATTTATATGTAAATTGTTGTTTGTGCTTGTTTGGTTGAGAAGTTGTAAGTACTTTCTTGAACGGTTTTCATGTTATATTTGTCTGACAAAAATGCTCCTAAACAAATTAAATATCATCTTTTATGTTCAGGCTATTTCTCCAGAAGACATTCCTCCTGTAATTGCAACAGGATTCAGTTATCTCATCAGTATATTTCGCCATGATCTTTTCTTTATTTCTGTTGTTGAAAATTAAGGTTTGTGTTTATATTAAGGTTAGTTAATGTTTTATTAATGTTTATATTCATTCGATTGCCTCTAATCCAATCAAGAGATTGATTGCTAGTATGCATTGCAAAGAAGTGTTATCACTCAACAAAAGGCATTGCATTAGGCATTCCTAGTGGTAGATAAAAATAATTTAGCCTTCATATCATCAACATGTGGTGAACACTTTCATGATTATTATTATTGATGAATTGAAAACATTCCTTTCCAGTTCCACCTTTGTTTGTGATTGAATTTCTTCATCGAGTCGTTGACTTGATCAAAGAATATTTCTCTGACTGTACTGAAACAATCATTAAAGAAAATTGTGTCATTGTATATGAGGTTTGAGATTAGTATTTTTTGTAGAGAATCCAGCTGTTTGATGAATGAATTTCAATTTATTTCTTTTGTGTGTGATGTAAAATATGATGTTATATCTTTATATTCTTCAGTTATTGGAAGAGATGTTGGATAATGGATTCCCTCTTGCTACAGAGTCAAATGTCCTTAAAGAGTTGATAAGACCTCCTAGTATAGTTAGAAATGTTGTTAATAAAGTGACTGGAGACAGCAAGTAAGAACCTTCCTTATAGTAAACATACAAGCCATGTTTTTATGTAGTGATCTATTTGTTGCTCATATAAGGATCAGATATAAATATGAAGCAAATCCATAAAACCACTAAACATTTCTATAATTGCATTGTTTTTTATATGCAACTTACTACAATATTTAGTTAAATTTGTTTTAGTTTACACATTTATGATCATTCTACATATAATTTAAGTTAAATATTTCATATTTTCCTAGTATGAGCAGTCATCTCCCAACTGGTCAATTGTCCAATGTTCCATGGAGGAGAACTGGTGTAAAATATGCAAATAATGAGTTCGTAGCTATATTCACATTGTTCCATTCAGAAATTTGAAAGAAAATCCTTTTTTATGCTTTGTTTTAGTTGTAATGTGATGAGTGAACTTTTTTCTTTTGTTAATTAGTTGTAGTAAATATTGCTAATTAGTTGTTAGTTCTAATTATTCATAATTAGTTCTAATTAATTCTAATCATCACAAATTAGTCATAAGTATTTTTTAATTAGTTCTATTTATGTTATAGATTTATTTTGATGTAGCCGAAATCATTGATGCCATCATTGATAAACAGGTAACAACATTATAATACTGGGGATTTCTTGTTCCCTATGTGGAAGATGTATGACAAAAATATGTTTGTTGTTTTTGTTTGATGTTAAATTAAAACTAAGGACATGTACGAACTAAAAACTTATGGCATGTTTAAATTTCTAGAATTTTCTGTTTTGTGTAGGGCTCCACCATATTTTCAGAAATACAAGGAACTGTAAGTGCCTTCCCTTTTTCATACTCTCTAGCACAACATTTTAAAGTTTTCACTTTTTTTCAACTTTGTTCTTTCAGATTGACTGCAACTGTAAATTATCTGGCATGCCTGGTATATTTATGATACTTTGTTATATCTCTAGATTAAAATTGAATTTATCGGTAGATTAAAGATTTCTATTAATTATAGATCTCAACATGTGTTTTACAAATCCTCGTATCCTTGAAGATGCCAGTTTTCATCCTTGTCTTCGCTTCAGAAGATTTGGGGTACGTAAGTGTGAATGTTGAATATGGATTGTCTCTGATCAAAGTCAACACAAATTATTCTTAATATGACTAATAAAAATTGTCTTTTTACATTGAACACTTTTCTTTCAATCATGCACTAAAACTGCGTTTGAACGCGACTGCTTCAAATGTCTGTGTATTTTAGTCTGAACGAATTTTGTCATTTGTCCCCCCGGATGGTCGTTTTCGTTTAATATCATGTAACGTGGCAACCGGGTGGGTGTTTTAGCAGTTATATTTTCATGATGAAATTGTCTATTTTGACGGTATTTTTGTTTTTTTTGTTTAGAGTAAATATGCTACCATTGTTTGCAAAGCCTCGTGTCTTGTTTCAAATGGTTTATCAACTGTTGAAATTATTTTAAAATATTTTTTTTTATTGATTGAAATAAATTAAAGTGTTTTATTTTCTGCGTTTTAATTTGTACGACTGTTTAAAACATTGATTTGATGATCGTCTTTTACTTGGTTGTTTCAGGGTGGAAGTGGAAGATTTGAATTGTCGATAAGTTCAAAACCTGTTATGGGTAAAAATGTATGTATTTATAATCATGTCAATTTATTAAACTGCTGTTGCATCTTCTTGCATTTATAAACTTAAAGATATAACCTAAACTAGTCCATTTTTTTCATACGTATTATCTCAAAGCATTTTTTATAAAACTAACTACATCGTCCTAACGTACTCATACCAAGTCAAATGTTGTATACATTAACTTTTTCAAAGTTTTTTCACTCATTGTTTCCATATTTTATTTAGATCGAGAATGTTGTCGTGACTGTTCCATTTCCTAAACAAGTTCTCAACCTTAACTTGACTACAAACGGTGAAAACGCTCATAAAATATTAAACATTACAGTCTGATGTTTCATTGCTCTTCATTGACGTTTCCCATCAACATTTATGACTTGTGTTCCATGTTTTCAGTAGGTACCTATTCATTTGATCCAATCAAAAAAGAGCTTTCATGGGAGGTAGGTTCATGAGGAAATTGTCACGATCACATGGTTATGTGAATCTTACGATACGTTAAACAATTTTAGATCGGTAAAATACAATCTCAGACATCGTCACCTAACATCAAAGGAAATGTAAGCAGTGGCGTAGCTAGCGGTCTGGCTGGTCGGGCCCAGCCCGACCAAATATTTTCCCAAAAATGAAAAATTTGTTTTCTTTAAAATTGGATTTGCAAAAATTTTAAATTCTGCGACTCTTTGGAATAATCCACAGTCTATTAGTGTAATATTTGTCAAATTGCGTCGTTATTAGCAAAATTATCATATTTTTAAACGTTACTTAGCAACAATGACAGGTGGATTTCTAGTGCCAGGCATTACGCAGTTTAGTCGGGCTCTGAAAATTCAGCCCGACCAAGTAGTAAAATCTATAGTGGGATTATCTGCAATCTGATTGGTTGACAGCAACCGAGCAAACTCAAATGCGCTGTTTCGCAACATCTAGTCGGGCTCTGAAAATTCAGCCCGACCAAGTAATAAAATCTATAGTGGGAATATCTGTAATCTGATTGGTTGAGAGTAGCTGAATACACTCAAACGTTTAACAACATCTAGTCGGGCTCATTTTTGAGCTTTCGAAATATACGTTCGGAAATCGTGATAACTTACATTACAATGGCTTCGGCTAATGAAATCGATATAATAAGTGAACTACAAAAAACCCTTTCTGTTCGACAATCAGGCGAGCAAAATATACTCGTAAAGCAGCAGCCAATTCCAAATTTACAAGCGACTACAGGCAATAGAAGCTTTCAGGAAAGTTGGTACTCGAAGAAAGATTGGCTTTGTGGTAGCTCAGAAAAGAATGCATTGTTCTGTTGGCCTTGTCTTTATTTTGCCCTGGATCGTCATCTTCATGGACGCAGACGGGATTCAAAAACATGAAGAATTTCCTATCCGATTGTAAGAAGCATGAGAAGGCAAAATCGCACATGGGTGCCTACAAGACCTGGAAGACCTACGGTTTTCAGCCTCGTATCGACTGTCTCATGTCACAAACTAGACGTGAAGAGATTCAGCGTCATAACGAGGAGGTAAGGCAAAACAGGGAAATGTTGAAAACATAACAGAAGCTGTTTTATACTTGTCTAGGCAAGAGCTTGCATTTAGGGGGCATGATGAATCTAGTAGCAGCATGAATAGAGGAAATTATAGAGAGCTACTTGAAAGTTTTGCCAAGATGGATTCTGTTTTTGAAAGGCGATTACATGGAAGGCTTGCTGAAACCCACCTTGCTGGGGGAGGGCGGTTTACTGGAGTCTCTCCTGATATTCAGAATGATTTGATTGATTGTCTTGATAAGATAATAGAGGATGAGATTTTAAAGGAAATATATTGCTGCACTTTCTTAAGTATACAGGTTGATGAGGCAACTGATGTTTCTACCAAAGAACAATTGAGTGTAATTGTTCGAATGGACAAAGGGGAAAGTGTCATTGAAAGACAGCTTGGGTTTGTTGATGTTAGTTGTGATAGGACTGCAACTGCTATATCATCAGTGGTTAAGGGTAAGTTAAGTCAATATAATAATGTGAAAGAGAAATTTATTGGACAGACTTATGATGGTGCATCTGTTATGTCTGGTCATCTCAATGGTGTTCAAGCTCAAGTTCAGCAGGATTATCCTTATGCTCAATTTGTTCACTGTGCTGCCCATAGACTAAATCTAGTATTATGTCAAGCTGCATCCTCCATCTCACCTGTTAAGATTTTCTTTGTTAATATTAGTGCTTTCTGCACCTTTACTAGCAATTCCCCAAAGAAAAGCTTTACTATCATCCCATAGGCTTGAGTTTCCTAGTCCTGGTGACACAAGATGGTATTATAGGGCTCATGTCATCAATGTCTTGCATTCTAACTATGAGAAACTGATAGACATATTTGAAAATCTTACTGATAATCCAATAGGTTGGGATGATGAAACGTTAAGTAAGGTTACTGGTTTACTTGGCTACCTTAATGGCTTCTTGTTTTGTTTCTTGGTACATGTTTTCAGAGAATTCTTGAGCAGTCATCCATACTTTATTCTATCTTGCAAGACAAGGACACTGACTTTCATTATGGAATGAGTAGGTTTGAGAGATTCAAGGCCTTTGTTGCTTCTCTGAGAAATGATACAGAATATTGTCAGGTGTACGACCTGGCTGTTGAGAAAGTGGGACCACCAGTAACCAGGTATGACCAACGGCATAATTACAAACAAATGTATTTTGAAATTCTTGACACAATTGTGACTATGCTGACTGAGCGATTTCAGGATATGGAGCGTTTTAGATTTTTGACCTTGTTAACCCTAGGGTGTTTAAGATGTGGAAAGGTGAAGTGCCCTCAGAAAAGATAAATCTTCTAAAGGAGGTTTATGGTGATATGTTTGACATACCAATGCTAGTTAGCCAACTTTGTTTTATTTACAGAGATAAAGACTTTCACTGTGATTCATGCGATGAATTATTGAAATATATTTTTCAGTTCCATTATCAATCTAGTATTCCAGAAGTTAAAGATAAATGGGGTTTTGTCAATTACAAGTGCTTCAGTTGAGAGGTCATTTTCTTGTTTGAAGAGGGTAAAAATTATCTTAGAAATACTTTGAGCCAAGGACGTTTTAGTTCTCTTTGCAGGATTTCCATTCACAAAGACATACTGTCAGAGAAAGAAGACGCCAACACATTGCATGATGAGGTAGTAAAGAAGTTCATTGAAAACCACGAAGACTTGCTTTCATACAAATAGGTATTCATATATGGCTGATAACAAGCTGATGATGTCTTACGTCCATGGCATGTGAGAATTTTCCGGGAACTTTTAATGCAGTCAATGATGATTGTCATTTCAGCACGACAATGAACGGCGTCACAACTTTTGATAGTTGTTGATGACAAATCTGAGCCTTTTTCGGTTCTTTTGTCAAAGTTTCTTTACAAGATGTACATAGGTATCTATTTATGTATGTGGTGTTGAGAAAATAATCACATATCTGCAACTATTTTTGAACTGTTTCTCTTCTTTACTATAAGATCCTTCGGCAATTTAAATTAACCAAAATGGTTCTATTTCCTGCATAAATATCACGCATTTGCTTTCTAAGATTGCCGTTTCCGACGTTCTAGGGAGTCTAAATTCGGAAAATTTTCTCGCTCGGCGCCAACCATGGTGGCGCCTCGTGAGCCCGACCAAATATTTTTCGCTAGCTACGCCACTGAATGTAAGTAAAACTTTTTTTTAATTTTTGCCCGTCTCAGTTGATTTACCGACGTCTTGACATGTTTTTCAAGAAAATATTTTCAAACTTTTTGCATGCAAAGCAAGATCTCCCTTCACAACATTTTTTGCTCACGAAGTAAAGTAATGTCGATCTTCCCAGTAACCATTCCTTGGTCACAGAGTAAGGTCGATCTTCACAGGTCGCTATCACTGTAGTTATATTCTTAGATTGTATTGTCTTTTCTAATAATTGATACTATCTCCCTTCCACTTTGGTATTCACCTTTAAAGATCTGATTTCCTACCATAATTAAACAACGTGGTGATGTGAGAATCGCTCTGATCTTTTTATGAAACTGCTCTTGTTTCATTTCGTCTTACGTTACTTGTCGTCAAATTCTTGCTGTATGTTCGTTTTCTGTAGTTTATTGCTTCTTATCATAATCTTTGTTTATTTTTCTTGTTTTTTTTATGAAAAGAATTAGTGCATATCTCCATAATCTTTTAATTTCTTTCCTTTTGTCTAATTTCCAATGTTTATTTTTCAGATATCTTTAAAAAGCGATGTTCCACCTTCGTAAGAAACACCAACTGAATTCGTAAGTGTTTTTTACTGAGTAACGTATATAAAACCAGTTGTAATTGGATGATATACTAAAATAATTCCCAAACCAAACTTTCTCTATGATACAAAGTTAACATAACTTCTCTCAGACATGATTTATTTATCAATACTCCTTAATCATAAACATGCAACAGCCTGCAACAGTGCCATCATAAATTTGTTGAAACCTGTCTCCCTTTCGCCGTCTTTCATCGGTAGCATTCTTTTATGTAGTCAACTTTCAAAATATATTCATTTGCCGCTTTGGGATTGAAAGTCGGTAGACTGGATGTACATGGAGAGGTAGGGACAGTTTGCATGGTTTGTTGTGTATGTAGGGGTACACTTTGCATGGTTTGTTGTGTATGTAGGGGTACACTTTGCATGGTTTGTTGTGTATGTAGGGGTACACTTTGTATGGTTTGTTGTGTATGTAGGGGTACACTTTGCATGATTTGTTGTGTATGTAGGGTACACTTTGCATGGTTTGTTGTATATGTAGGGGTACACTTTGTATGGTTTGTTGTGTATGTAGGGGTACACTTTGCATGGTTTGTTGTGTATGTAGCGGTACACTTTGCATGGTTTGATGTACACATAAGGGTACACTTTGCATGGTTTGTTGTGTTTGGAGGGGTACACTTTGCATGATTTGTTGTGTATGTAGGGGTACACTTTGCATAGTTTGTTGTGTATGTTGGGGTACACTTTGCATGGTTTGATGTGTATGTTACACTTTGCATGGTTTGTTGTGTATGTAGGGGTACATTTTGCATGGTTTGTTGTGTATGTAGCACACTTTGCATGGTTTGATGTACACATAAGGGTACACTTTGCATGGTTTGTTGTGTTTGGAGGGGTACACTTTGCATGATTTGTTGTGTATGTAGGGGTACACTTGCATAGTTTGTTGTGTATGTTGGGGTACACTTTGCATGGTTTGATGTGTATGTAGCAGTACACTTTGCAGTTTGTAGGGGTACATTTTGCATGGTTTGTTGTGTATGTAGGGTTACACTTTGCATGGTTTGTTATGTAGGGTACACTTTGCACGGTTTCTTGTGTTTGTAGGGGTACACTTTGCATGGTTTGATGTGTATGTAGGGTTACACTTTGCATGGTTTGTTGTGTATGTAGGGGTACACTTTGCACGGTTTGTTGTACAAATTGGTGTTCATTTTAATCTTGACAGATGACTTGAGTCCAACTTATGTTATATGGTTTCTGATGTAATCTAATATGTAACTAGGTTGCATTCTCTATAGCAGGGGTCTCCAAACTTTATAGCCATAGGGCCGCATTAACTTTCATCCAGCATGTTGAGGGCCGACGAACCCTATACCGCTGGTCAAAGAGCGAATATTTTAATAAAACGAAGTACATAACACAAGCTTCATTAGTTAAGAAAATAACTCCTTCCTTAGCTCAAAAACCCTTGAAAGCACTTTTCCACAACTTAGCCATCTTACTGCAGTGTAATATGGCATGTCAACAGATTCTGTCTCAGTAGGACGTTGGGACAAAAATTGACGTAAGCCACTCTTGTTAGTTGGCTTGCGTCATAACGTGAACTTTCTGCACAAAGTTTATTTTGCTTAATAATATTATTATTATTTTCTTAAGTGTCTCTGCGGGCCGGATTGAGAGGCCCAACGGGCCGCATCTGGCCCGTGGGCCGTAGTTTGGAGACCCCTGCTCTATAGAATTACAAGCTATTAAAGGCGTCAAGACACAACAGCTGGACGGTATAAGATAAGAACATAAAATTTTGTTGAATAAAAGCACAACACAACATTTACGCATGGTTAACAATTCGCGAATCTCCTTCCTAATCCTTCGACAGAACAAATTTTGATTAGCTTTCGAAAAGTTAATTCAACTTGTTGTGTATTTTTCAACATACATGTATGTATCTTACAGGTCGGGACTTCTTGCATATAATCTCTGCACTAAAAATATATCATCTATTGTGATTGCATTGGCAATAGAGCTTTACCGTTGGAGAAAAAAAGAAAAGTTGTGAATGCAATCTTCAACTACATTGAACGATAAAAATGCGTCAATGCAGCAATACTGTACAAGCAAAAAAGTTAAGTTATATTGCAGCACGTTATATTCAGAGAAAAATTTCACTTGGAGCAACTGTGCAGTCACTGTGAGTGCAATGTACAATGTTAAAAAAGGGAACCGTTCTAAATGTAGAAGGGAGGACAAATCTGACTTGTTAAAGGCATTAATACCAACTTGGAATCAAGCTTTTGATGGTTTGTTTCTACAAGCTGAAAATTTCGTATGTTTTGCCAATAATATTAGTAGGTTTGTTGTTCAATATTGCTTGAATTCTTGTTATTTTTCTATTGTTACATGGCTGCCTGAAGCATATGGAGTTGCTGGTCGGAACAAGAAGTTGCCATTCCACTATTCAACGTGGCTTCAATTCTTTCCGTTCTTCTGATGTTACGTACTTGGGGCACTTAGAGCGTATGGATTTGCTAGAAAATGTAGTTCCTAAACGTATGTAAAGATTTTGATTTTCGTTCATAATATACTGTGTTCCAGTCGCAAGTTGGGCATTGTTTCTAACTTTCTAAGAGATTTTTCGATCAAAAATTTTATCTGCTGTGAACATCTCTAATTATGTTCTTCCTAAAAATAAATTTCTGTCTGCGGAAACTGATCATTCAGTTTATCAACTTGTTGTTTCATCCACAAAAACGCTAAACGATCGTATTTTCCATTACGAGGCAGCAGCCTGTCTGTTTTGAATATCGTATGATTTTTACGATGTTTTATTGATGTTGTAATAAAAAATGGCGTTTCATGACACAGTATGTTTTAATTTTATAAAATTTGATTGGTAGGATCGACAGTCATCATGGATTTACCTGCAAACATTTGTTCATAATTCCTACTAATTAAGATTTTATCTCATTTAAGAGGAAGACATTTTACAGCAAAGTTGCACTATAAAATGCAAGTTACATATATAAATTCTAACATTATTACGGTTTTGAAGATTTTAATAAAAATTCAAAATACATCAGTGAAACAATAAATTATAGTGAGAGAACAAAATACTCACAGTTTTATATCATTTATTTTAACGTGTTTTTCTTGTAAATTTAGTTTGACAAAACGAAAGATACTTGAACTAATCTATTTAATTAGATCAAAAAACTGTAAAGTTTTTGAAACGTGAAGAAAGCGTCATATTTTTCCACCAAGTTGTCATGTCAAAATTGTGTAAACTTTATCATTTGTGGTATAATTGTTGCTTTATTGCATTTTTTACTCGTATTTTTCATTAAGTTTAATGTCTTAAAGCTTTAATAATAAAATATAGAAGTCGTAGTTAACATGAAAAAGTGCATTTTTAATCTATTAACATTATAAGAGAAATTCGTAGCTATTTTTGTGGTGTATCACAGACAATATTTACTGTCAGACAACTTCCAAGGTTGATAACTAACCACAGTTGCATACACTTTGTGGTGTGTCACAGGCAATATTTACAGTCAGCCAACTTCCAAGGTTGATAACTAACCACAGTTGCATACACTTTGTGGTGTGTCACAGGCAATATTTACAGTCAGCCAACTTCCAAGGTTGATAACTAACCACAGTTGCATACACTTTGTGGTGCGTCACAGGCAATATTTACTGTCAGCCAACTTCAAGGTTAATAACTAATCACAGTTGCATACACTTTGTGGTGTGTCACAGGCAATATTTACAGTCAGCCAACTTCAAGGTTGATAACTAACCACAGTTGCATACACTTTGTGGTGTGTCACAGGCAATACTTACTGTCAGCCAACTTCCAAGGTTGATAACTAACCACAGTTGCATACACTTTGTGGTGTGTCACAGGCAATATTTACTGTCAGCCAACTTCAAGGTTAATAACTAATCACAGTTGCATACACTTTGTAGTGTGTCACAGGCAATATTTACAGTCAGCCAACTTCAAGGTTGATAACTAACCACAGTTGCATACACTTTGTGGTGTGTCACAGGCAATATTTACAGTCAGCCAACTTCCAAGGTTGATAACTAACCACAGTTGCATACACTTTGTGGTGTGTCACAGGCAATATTTACTGTCAGCCAACTTCAAGGTTAATAACTAATCACAGTTGCATACACTTTGTGGTGTGTCACAGGCAATATTTACTGTCAGCCAACTTCCAATGTTGATAACTAACCACAGTTGCATACACTTTGTGGTGTGTCACAGGCAATATTTACTGTCAGCCAACTTCAAGGTTAATAACTAATCACAGTTGCATACACTTTGTGGTGTGTCACAGGCAATATTTACAGTCAGCCAACTTCAAGGTTGATAACTAACCACAGTTGCATACACTTTGTGGTGTGTCACAGGCAATACTTACTGTCAGCCAACTTCCAAGGTTGATAACTAACCACAGTTGCATACACTTTGTGGTGTGTCACAGGCAATATTTACTGTCAGCCAACTTCAAGGTTAATAACTAATCACAGTTGCATACACTTTGTGTGTGTCACAGGCAATATTTACAGTCAGCCAACTTCAAGGTTGATAACTAACCACAGTTGCATACACTTTGTGGTGTGTCACAGGCAATATTTACAGTCAGCCAACTTCCAAGGTTGATAACTAACCACAGTTGCATACACTTTGTGGTGTGTCACAGGCAATATTTACTGTCAGCCAACTTCCAAGGTTGATAACTAACCACAGTTGCATACACTTTGTGGTGTGTCACAGGCAATGTTTACAGTCAGCGAACTTCCAAGGTTGATAACTAACCACAGTTGCATACACTTTGTGGTGTGTCACAGGCAATATTTACAGTCAGCCAACTTCCAAGGTTGATAACTAACGACAGTTGCATACACTTTGTGGTGTGTCACAGGCAATATTGACAGTCAACCAACTTCCAAGGTTGATAACTAACCACAGTTGCATACACTTTGTGGTGTGTCACAGGCAATATTTACTGTCAGCCAACTTCAAGGTTGATAACTAACCACAGTTGCATACACTTTGTGGTGTGTCACAGGCAATATTTACTGTCAGCCAACTTCCAAGGTTGATAACTAACCACAGTTGCATACACTTTGTGGTGTGTCACAGGCAATATTTACTGTCAGCCAACTTCCAAGGTTGATAACTAACCACAGTTGCATACACTTTGTGGTGTGTCACAGGCAATATTTACTGTCAGCCAACCTCCAAGGTTGATAACTAACCACAGTTGCATACACTTTGTGGTGTGTCACAGGCAATATTTACTGTCAGCCAACTTCCAAGGTTGATAACTAACCACAGTTGCATACACTTTGTGGTGTGTCACAGGCAATATTTACTGTCAGCCAACTTCCAAGGTTGATAACTAACCACAGTTGCATACACTTTGTGGTGTGTCACAGGCAATATTTACTGTCAGCCAACTTCCAAGGTTGATAACTAACCACAGTTGCATACACTTTGTGGTGTGTCACAGGCAATATTTACTGTCAGCCAACTTCCAAGGTTGATAACTAACCACAGTTGCATACACTTTGTGGTGTGTCACAGGCAATATTTACTGTCAGCCAACTTCCAAGGTTGATAACTAACCAAAGTTGCATACACTTTTTTATTTAATTTGAATAATAGAATTTTGATCATAGTCTCTTATGGCTAAATTCCGCCCTAAATTTTCATCGTCTTTTTTCTTTGATTTTTTTTTCAGACAGAAGTAAAAAAGATGAAGAAATTAAAGTTATTGCAACACTTGAAAACAAGAGAATTACGAGTTTTTTCAATCCTGGGTGGGGTGTAATTTTGTCAATATTAAAAATTGAAACACATTCGTAGTTTGATTGAATTTTCATGATCTTCTCCAAACTCTTCGAAGTTCTATGTAGGAATCCTGCGATGATAAGTATAAAAGTGAACAATTTTATTGGAAAAAATATAAATGCGATAACTATACGGTACTTCCATGGAATTGGGAGTTTTTTTGTTGCGTTTTTAACCACAAGTAAGGTTACAGATATCGTTGGGACTAAATCTCGTTGATAACAAGTTTTCAAGATTGTCTATGACGAGTGAAGAGACCTTCATATAGTTATGCGTCACATGAATTTATTTGTTCGAGTGAAGTGGATTTGATGTTTATTTTATTAGCCACTGCTTGGCCTATTCCATTCAATCAGCATATCCAAATTAATAATTTTTCTCGTAATACTTTTTATTTTCTACAGTTATGAAACGTTTAATAATTTGTTAATATACAAGCGTTTACACAACTATTGCAAGAGCGAGTAAGAAAGCATAGAGAAAATGAATGATCATTTATCTTCTATAAGAGCTCACCATGGACTCATATTGTCAGCAGTTTTCGTATAATGGATCATATGGCTAAAATATGATGAAAAATGCGATAAAGAGAAAGTAAATTCCAGTTGAATGGTTTAGAAAATGAAGTATTTATCTTTTCTGATTCGCTGTTTGGACCAAACTTATGATGATGTATGTGATGAATAACCGACTGTTTTTTGTGTTTCCTCTAATGTATTTGCTTATGACTAACACCAAAGGCATTTTCGAAAGCATTCGCGTGTAAAATTTAAACTACGCCCCTTCAAAACTCCTCCAATCTCCGCTACCAAGGGTCACCAGGTCACTATATCTTGCTGTGATCTTTTCAAATTGAGAAAATTTATGTAGGTATGAGGACTTGCAAAACAAGTCATTCTTGTTGTTTTGATGCTTGTAGTCAGACAGTAGTAAAAACGGTGAAGAAGTCAATAGTGTTGAATTACTTGAAGACCAGAGAATTTTTAGTAAGTTTTGCTGACTTAGTTGTAATGTACTCTCATCAATAGTCAATATTAAAAACTGGACGCTTTAAAACGTAAGGTTGAATTTTGCGGATTTTTTCTTTCATCGGAAAATTTATTGTGTCAGAAGTTAAATTTGATCACATAAAGCTTGTCTTTCTTCCTTATTTATATTTCTATTTTCCGAGTACAAATCTTCAGATTATATTTTTAACAGGATAGTTCTTTTCAACTCACCGGAATCAAAGTAAAAATTATTTAGGCAATAACAATTCAAACTAAAACCATTTCATAATAATTGGTGTATTTTTGTACAGTTTTTATTCTCTAGTCAAGATGCAGATTTTCGATTTCCAAAAAACAAGGAAATAACATAGGTTTTTACTTTGTTAACGTGTATTCATCACAAAAGTGGTATGATAAACGTGGCAGGAAGAGCACACGCTTGCAAATTTTCTTATGAAAAAGAATATGCTTAGGAATGATTTCAATACTTAAGAGTTATAGGCTGATAAGTTTATTTCATAAAGGTGAAGCACCTTATTGATGAGAATTAGAAGAATCAACCTTTTGAGATAGTTTGTCATTAAACAATCATCTATGCTTCATTACTGCAATCTCGAATAGATTAAATGCAACTTTTGTCAAATGTATATCTTTTGAAGCTTCCAAAGATTCAATTATGCGCATTTCCCGTATACTATCTAACTAAGGCCAACGGCTTATAACAATTTGATTCTTAGTGCGTCTTGTGATTCTCTTTTGACACAGATTCATCACGCTGTAGACCTGAACTTTGTGGTTTATAATAAGTTTGTCATGTAAGTTGCAATTTACAATGATTTGTGACGTGTGGGTACCTCCCTATTTGGAAACTACATGCGAATTAAGATTGGACTGCACCGAGGGCTTTGTACTACGAGACATTTTAAAATGTTTTGATCCTGGTCAACCTCATATACTTCTCTATTAAAAAAATTATTTTGTTGTTTGGTTTTCTTTCCTAGAAAAATCATTATTTACTACAAATTCATGAATAAAACGCTGAGGATTTTTCAAAGCACGCTTCGGTATTGACGCATCTTTGTTTATGCATGCGCAATTTTGCTCAAATATGTATTAGACACGAGCTAGAGCAAATGTCCCATTTTATATATATTAATCTACGACTATGTGCAATTATATGCAAGACAGGTATTCGACATAGTTTAATGGTTCTGATCTGAGGAGAACAAAAATGGTAAAGAAATCAAAATTTGTGACACCGTTAACTCAAAGATCGTCATATTGATTGTAAATTTTCCAGACTTTGTTGTATTGTTTCCTCTTCGCGTGTTTCAACACCTGTGTATAAAAATATTAGGAAAAAAGATACTCAAAAGAAATCAGACGGAAAGTTTTTAATGTATTATTTTATTCAATTTCAAGTTGTCGTATCTTGCGTTGTCTTCATATGATAAATAATGTATTGTAGCTATAAGAAGTTTACAGAATTAGAAGAATTAAGTATTGTCTTGATGCGTGACTTTCGTGACTGTGGGAGTGGGGGGTTGCAACGTGCAATTACCGACAAACACGTGATTGGTACATATATCTTGAAGAATACTTTGCATGACGTTACAAAAGTAAGTCGTTCCAGACTTTTCGAGCGACTAACAAGCTCCATAAAAGGAACATGTTGCCTTCTTTAAACAGCCTTTTGGAGCGATTTGAGAAACTTAAAAACTTTTTTACTGATACGGTGTAAATCACTCCTAAATTCAATGTTGCTGAAATGGGCACTTGAATGAATTAATTAACTTACGAAACTTATCCGGGGGGGGAATGTTAAAATATTCATTATCGAGAATTGATCTACCAATATTGCCCTATCTTTAACCTATTGGTATATAACATCCTACACACACTCTACATACATGTTAGTTGGATCTCTTATTTGCTAGCTTTATGCTTCCATAAATGAATTTCCTCTATTGTAATTTTGAAACTAAAAAGTGGACTAAATAAAGCTGATAATTTTGCCTTATATAGTTAAACAGTTAACTTTGATGCTTGGCGCATAAAAATAGTACAATAAAGAAAAGTTTGCTGTTCACATAAAGAACATTGGAGAACATTGGTATGCCAGGTATACGATATACTTGGCGAGAAATGCCCACGCAAGCAAATTTTCTTATGAAAAAGAATACCCTGGGAAATATAAGTACTCAGAGTTTTAGCCTCAGAAGTATACAATGCCGGTCAAGCATCTGAATTAGCTACCTAAAAATTTTAAGAATCTGTTCGTAATTAGTTAGATTTGTTATTAACCAAACGCTTCTATCTTTAGTACCTAAATTTATTTACCATAAAATTTATTTCTAACTTTTAAAGATTCCAAAGCAAACATTTGATAGAGAGCTTTTGAAACTAGCTGCGAAGTTCGAACTGAATCATGAGAATCTTGGAGGTTTTGGTTACCTTTGTCCCCCCCCCCTCCCTTACACACACACTCAAAAAAAACTTTGCGTTGCCAACGAGTGAAAGATTCACTAGTTTTGCATATGTGGATAAATATTTTCAATTTTGTACTGTATCGAAAACTGTCCATTACACACATTTCTTTAGATTCATACATAGTACTTAATAAATACCTCCTATCTTCCCCAGCAAAGATCACGATTTCCTGCTGTGGTGTTTTGAAATTACCACATTTTTAAAATATCTTGATCTAACACGAATTTTAAAACATGTATTTGTCATAGTTTAATATTTATAATGTGATTGGACCAAAAACGCCAAAAAAGTCAAAGTTGGTCAAACTGCCATAAACTCACGACAGGTAAAGATCGTCTTAGGGATTTTAAATTTTCCAGACTTAACCGTGTATTGTATTCTTCGTGTGTTCAAACACCTGTGCACAAAATAAAAGAATACAGAAAATCCAATCAGTTTGAAGCCATCGTTTTAAACAGTTTCGAGTTATCACATATTATCTGTCTCCATTTCTACAAAAGCCAATTATTGTAACAGTAATATATTTTAAAACAGATATATTTTGCCTGTTTTATTTCGCCTTTAAGGATGTATTAGGCCAGGTCTGTCTGTTTTTATAATATGGTTGCTTAGAACTTTCATAAACATATTTTGTTTATGGTATTAATAAATACTAGAAAGTAAACGAAAATAAAGCTGATAAGTTTTTATAACTTTCACATATGTTACAAATAAGAATTTTCTGACCACAGTCTAATTACAGTCGAATTTCATACACAGGTAATTGCTACATTTCTAAAATGGTCTCTTCATTTTCTGAGATCGATTGGCTTAATTGTATTGTATTCTAGCGTAGATTTTTGGTTTGAAAGTTAAAAGCTGAAAGTCGTCAGACTTACCCTTTAATCAAACATTGCATACAAAGAAAAACAGTAATGGCTGTGTTTGAATAGTAAAACTGTTGTTCTCGCTGTAATGAGTCGAAACATAAATAAGCTTAAATATTAAATTAACGTGAACAGAAATCTTAATAAAATAAAAGGGAGTGATTTATTCACGAATCTTGCAAGTACTCGAAATTGCCCATGAATTTTTTTTGATGAATGAGTTGATTCTTTTGTCTTTAGTTATACTGGATGACTAAATTTTGTCGTTTACAACTGGCACAACAAAGAAAATTCATCTATTTACATGAAAGTAATAACAGCCTGATCAATACATGGATAACTTCTTTTCTTTATTAAAATTTGGTCCGCAGTCAGGTTCAGTGAGACAGCACTTGGAAGAAGGGAATCGCTGTATGAATAATGGCGATTATGAATCAGCAATTGAACACTATGTACAATGTTTGAGACCTCCAAGCAAGAATAGCGTCAAAATGATGGCATATTTTGGTGCTGGTAACGCTTGTGTCCTCTCTAAAAAATGGAAGGATGGAATGAAAAATTTTGATGATTGCTTGAAGATTTCTTCAAACGTGAAACGTGAATTTTTTCAACATCAAGTTTATCTTGGCCTGGGTAATATTGATTCTACCATTGAAAGATTTGTGGACGACCTGAAGAAAGATAAAATGGTCTGTCTTTGCCATATTGCATTGGGAGGATTGAACAAGCGGCTTGAAAATTATGAGAAATCTTTGGAGCATTATAGAAAAGGATTCTCTCTTATTGAATGTCAACACCAAGAAAATCAGCAAGAACAAAAAAAAGAACCAAAGAAAGTTGATGGTATTAACGTTAGTAAAGATTTCATCGACCACAACATGAAGAACTTGTCACTTGTTACTTCAACTGGAATCATGAATGGAGTGTTAGTTGTTTATTGGGAATTAACAGAATTGTTTGATAAACTTAAAAGACGGCACGAGGCAACTTGTATGTACAAAATATATATGGAGGGTAAGAGACAACTTTTGCTTCGGATTAACAATAAATTTAGGGGTTTTTAAGTACTACATTATAATTGACATTATAAGTTTAAAGATTGGTGATTCAGGCATATTTCATTGAAGAAAAGTAATGTTTTCTCAGGATTTTTGAAAATTTATTCTATTGAGCTTTCGACTCGGTTCTGATGAAGGCTCGAAGAACGCTCAATAAAATAAATTTTCAAAAATCAGGAGAAACCTTTACTTTTCTACAATTAACATTATATGTACATAGTCGTTCGTTACCAAAATATATGATGTGGATTTGCCAGTGCCAAAGCTTTGTTACGCCAGTCTGGAGACATGATGTATTATATCTAATAATTTTAGTTATCAGCTATATCCTCCACTCTTGCCAAGATCTGTTTCCTTAAACAAGTGGCTTATGATGTAACAATTACTTTACGGTTTTACCGTTACGGCAGTTTAACCATCACTGGCGTATAACAATTAATATAAATTCAGGGTTAGGAGCTTAAGAATTCTACCAACAATATACTTATGATAGCGAGTTTAAATGTTTAAAAGTATGATCGTGCTGGTAATCGAGATGAACAATTATACCTATTTATTCTCTAGTGTGGGCTACCTCAATTTTACCTGAACTGATTGCTTAAATGATTTATTTATGAAATGGTTGTTATGACAAATTGTGCAGTCAGTACCTATTTGAATCGTTTGGGCAATGGCAGACGTTGAGTTATTTCTAATTAATTGATTTTCTTATTTTAGTAATCTTTAAAAGTAATATTTTTACCCCAATTTTAGAATTGCAGTGGAAATGCGTTGATGAATCAACTAAACATAATCAATTGTTTTTAAAAATGATTAAGTATGGACGAGATCCCAAAGTCAATGTTGAATATATAAGCGATGTGCGTGTAATTTTCTCCGGAGAATTTTGCATCGGCAAAGGAAGTGATGGAACTCGTGTTTATCTTGGACTGGGAAAAGATGGCTATGGAAAAGCAGTGAAACGAATACCTCGTGATATCTGCATTGGGCTTACACAACAAGAAAAGAAAATTTTCAAAGAAATCATCAAAAAAAAATCGAATGATGTTGTGAATTATTTTTACTTAGAAGAAGACATTACATCAGAATATGTTTATTTAATACTCGACCTGTGTGAAGAATCGCTGGTGGATTTTGTGCAATCGGAATCAAATAGTTTGGCTTATCTTCAAAAATCGCTTCCCAAAGTTCTCAGACAAATTTTAAAAGGCTTAGCTCATCTTCACAGCGAGCCACATCCTGTTCTTCATCGAGATTTAAAGCCTTCCAATGTTCTCCGAGAAGCCCAAGGCAAATTTCTGATAGCTGACTTTGGTATCAGTCGAATACTAAAAAGTGATTATAAGACATTTAAACACGGCCTTACTTGGGGATCTGATTATTGGGTTACTCCCGAATCGTATTGTCCGGATGATGAGTCGATTAAAAAGTCACATTACAAAAAAGAGTCTGATGTAATGGTATGTGTTAAAATATAACCGTTTTTAAAATACATATAAATAATAATAAATATATGTCTTTAATATATTATTCACGCTTTTACTTTTTCAACGATTTTAGACTGCAGGAATGGTGGCTTTTTATGTTGCAACAAAAGGGAAACATCCTTTTGGAGATCGAACGACAAGACTGCAAAACTTGTTGAATGGAAACCCTGTTGAATTGAAAAACATAGTAGATGTTGAACTTAAAGATCTTCTTTCGTGGATGCTACAATTGAGACCTGAACTCAGACCATCTGCTAACGAGGCGTTAAAACACCCTTATCTACAATCCGATGAATGTAAGTTTGACTTGATGTGTGATGCGGGAAACCAACCCGAGATAGAGATACCATATTTAGGTCATCCTCTCTACTCAGATGTCCATGAGCAGTTAAATGGGTTAAAAAATTGGAAGGATCGTATTGATCTTGAAGTCTTTAGTGATTTCAATGTGGGACATTACGATGCTACATGGTTAGGTTGCTTGCAATTTATACATAATGTTCACCAGCATTGGAATGATGTACCTCGTCTAAAACGGCTTCAAAGTGATGGTAATTATAAAAAGTATTTCTTACAAGTTTTTCAAGAGCTTCCTCTGTTGGTGAACAGAATTATAAGATTAAATGAATGGAAGTCAAAACCAGATCTCGAAGAACACTTTTCAAGTAAGTTACAAACATTTGGAAATTTTTTTTCCGTTTTGACCGTATAGCTAAATTAGTGTTTCTTTTAAAAAGTCCCTCAAAAGAAACATCACGCAATAGAAAGTTAGTGGTCTTGTGATCGCGGGAAGATCTGTTACTGCATATTGGGTCATCCTTAAATTGTAAATCTTAAGCTGTGATCGAAAATTTACCATTAGATGAATTGAACTTGAACTTAATATGGACTGCAGAAGGTCGATAATTGGATAGTATTCGTAAATGCAGGATATGCTTTATTAAGCTCTTTTGAAATCCAATTAATCTATTTTTTTCTGCGTATTATAAAATGCATTTATGAATATGATCCATCCCCAATTATCGATCTTCTGCGGTTTCTGCTTAAGAAATATAACGACAAAGTCCAATTGGTATCACTAGAGATAACTGGAAGGATGATGTATGGAAAGAAGGTGCACATAGAAATAGTCAGTGAAGCAATTTAAGCTTTTCCACTTATTACTTGTTTACTTGTACTTTAACTATGAGTTCCAACATGGCGGATAGTCATTTAAGTTGTAATGATTTACAATGAGAGTCTGAGAAATTGCTATGCAACTACAAAAAATAAAGAAAATTAATTAAGAATGCTTAAGAAAATTTATATATTTAAATTATATTTTTTGGTCTCCTGTACCAATTCCAGTAATTTTTAGATTTAATGGACGAGACCAATGTGTTTTTTATGATTTTATGTTTTGCTTTCATCTAGTATTGACTGGACAGAACTTTCGTATTCAACATCAAAAAGAATTAAAACAACAATTATTATACGGTTTTACGTTAACTCAGAAAAATAAAATGTAGGTTTAAGCTGATCCATCCAGTGAAGCTAGTTTCCCAAAATATAAAGGACAATATCCTTTGACCAGTGGCGAAACTAGAACGCTAGTTGGGGTGGGTAAATCTGCATATATCCAGGGGTGGGTAAATATGCATATATTTGAAATTAACATCGCAAACAAAAGAAATCAGCAGGGCAGAGCTGAATATATGAATATATACCCCCCCAATTAACGTTCTAGTTTCGCCCCTGCCTTTGACTAGGATTGGAAGTACTGTTATTTTACTGTTATAATATTTTTACAATTCCGATCCTCGCTGCAGTAGAGTAACTTGGAGCTTTTTTATCTGATGGTAATACATTTACGTCAGTTTCAGAATTACACTTGCAAAAATGGAAATACATCGGTGAATCAAAAAAACATAAAGAATTGTTGTTAAAACTAACTGAGTATGGACAAGATCTTAACGCTGAGGTTAAACATTTGAACGATGTACGTGTAGTTTTCTCGGAACAGTTTTTACTTGGCAAAGGAAGTGATGGAACCCGTGTTTATCTTGGACTGGGAAAGGATGGTTACGGTAAAGCAGTAAAACGAATAATTCGTGATAACTGCATTGGGCTTGTGCAACAAGAAAAGAAAATTTTGAATGAAATCGAAGCAAAGGGCTCGAAGTATGTTGTAAATTATTCTTACTTAAACGACACTGAAACAGAACATGTCTATTTAATACTCGACCTGTGTGAAGAATCACTGGAGCATTTTGTGGAGTCAAAGAGTTTGGCTTATCTTCGAAAATTTCTTCCCAAAATTCTCAGACACATTTTAAAAGGATTAGCTGATCTTCATAGTGACCCATATCCTATTCTTCATCGGGATTTGAAGCCTTCTAATGTTTTCCGAGACGCACAGGGCAAATTTTTAATAGCTGACTTTGGTATGAGTCGAATTTTGAAAAATGGATCTAACACATTAAAAAGTGGCACCAAAATGGGAGCTGGGTATTGGATTGCTCCCGAATCATATTGTAAAGATGAAGATTCGGTTGATAAAGCACGTTACAAAAAAGAGTCTGATGTAATGGTAGGTGTAGAAATGTAAGATTTGCAAACCAAACTTAAATTCAATATTTTAACATTTCATTCACGCTGTTACGATTTTAGAATGCTGGAATGGTGGCTTATTTTGTTGCAACAAAAGGGAAACATCCTTTTGGAACTCAAGCGACAATATCGCATAACTTGTTGAATGGAAACCCTGTTTTCTTGAATGAAATTGATGATGTTAAACTTAAAGATCTTCTATCATGGATGCTACAGGTAAAACCCGAACTACGACCAAATGCCAACGAGGCGTTAGAACACCCTTATCTACGATCCGATGAAAAGAACTTTGATATGTTGTGTGATGTGGCAAACCAACCAGTGATAGAGATACCGTATTTAGGTCATCCTCTTAACTCAGATGTGCGTGAGCAGTTAAATGGTCTAAATAATTGGATGGGCCGTATTGAACCTGAAGTTTTTAATAATTTCAATAAAAGTCAATACGACTCCACATGGTTGGGTTGCTTAAAATTTTTGCAAAACGTTCACCAGAATTGGCATGATGAACCTCGTCCACAACTGTCATCATATGTTAAAGATGGAAACTATCAAGAGTATTTCCTCAAAGTTTTTTCAGAGCTTCCTCTGCTAGTAAACAAAATGAAAAGGTTGATTAAATGGAAGTCAAGTCCTGATCTTAAAGAACACTTTTCAAGTAAGTCACAGTCCTAGAAATATTTTTTCATTTTCACTGATGGATTAATTTAAGGTAGTGTTCCTCATTTTACACAATGCCAAGTGTAAAAATTTCAAGTAAATACTCTGGAAGTGTAAACTTTTTTGGTTAGATTCATCGTAATTTAGCGATATATTTCTTTATCAACGTGTCGAATATTATGAAAAATTAGCTTTTTCAACTTGGACGATTTAACCCCAGCAGCTCTATGTTTGGGTATGAAAGCACATGTGTTGTTTCTGAATTGTTAAACTATACCTAAAATGCATATGGTGTTAAGCAATAAGGGTGTATTGTTTTACTGGTATTCATTAATACAAAGAGAATTTCTTTTTATTCAAACTTTGCTGTCAGTAGCGACATAGCAAAGCGTTGATGTTAGTGCAAAGCTAAGCTTTGTTTTTGTTACTGCATGTTCACTTTCTAAAAGGCCTATAAAACTTGAATTTGCAAAAGCAATACATTTTTACACAATCCTTCGCCAGCAAATAGCTAATAAAATACAAACAAAAAACTCAGCATGAAAGTCCGTCTTACTCAATATTTTTTAAATAAATTTAAACTTCTTGATTGCTTCAAACGATGACACTCATATAAAGATTCATATTTAAGCAAGCCACATCCCATGGGAGATATAACTAACGCTAGCAATTTGAATCTCAATCAATCACTCCTCAAATGGAAGCTATGTTGCTTTTATGAAAGAAAATAAAGCGTTTAACCGGCATAAAGTCACTGGCTTAGCAACTAAGAAAGATGCAAGATGATTCTTTTCGTAAGAAAATTGCTAACTTTGTGTTAGAAAGTGTGTTAGAAAGTGTGTTAGAAAGCCATTTTCCGAATTTTTAACAAACTTAAATGTGAAGTAAGCAGAATAATTGAAATGCGGCATTACGAAGAGACTATGCATTGATGGATAAATTTGAAGAAGAAGAAGACAAATAACAAAACGCCAATGACAATGCACGTGTAACTGAAAGAAAATCACATATTGGAAAAGGAAGAAGACACATTCACAGAAGAGGGAAGAACATTGTCAGCTTTAAGTTAAGCAAGCCAGGGCATATTGCAAAGAAATTCCCACTCACTGTTTCAGAAAAACAACAGGAATAATTAAAAATGCCTGAAAGAGGAGGAGTTGCATTAATCTTTGGTACGAGAAATACCAGTGAACGTTATTTCGATTAAGCTGCTAAAAAGAATGTGACTAAATACGAGAACTCTCTCATTAATAACAAAAGGTACAAATTTTCAACAAGTTGATGATACATGCACAAAGGCAGCACGTAATGATCAAGTCGGAAACAAAAGATGTGGATTCATAAGTGCAAAGTTACATAGTTTTGCATGTGCCAAGATCAGCAAAGAGTTTATATCTGTGCAAGCGATATTCACCAACTGATTCTTCAGATAAATGGCATCAAATGTTTGTTTATTTAAATGGTCAATGGGTCGAAGTGGTGAATTCATGAAGTTCAAAAGCCAAAGGAGAGTAAAATGCTCATCAGGAAATTTTCACAAAGTATCATTCCGGTAAGGAAGTTTGGGAGCAAGTGTTGTAAGTATGAGCATGCTTTTGGGGATGTTTGTGAGGAAATGTCCTGCAAACTAAGAGAGGTTTAGTAAAGTCCAAATATATCGAGAAGAGACGCTTAAATCGGAACATACTACTCCTGTATTGAGAGGAAAAGGTTTATATTGTAGCAAAGTTATGTAACTTTTTTTTTGCATTGTTTTGTATGTGGGTAAAATCAATTGGAAGAAGTTAATTGCTACATTCTCACTTTCATTGAGTACTTTTCCAGTCTTCAGATACACTGTGGTACATCCTTTCAAGAGGAAAGGTGAGTCCTGGCCAAGCTTAAAACTTTTTTGTGCTTTAATGAAAGTCAGAGAAAAGATCATAAAATTAAAACTGTAATTATGAAGAACAATGGAGATGAATATTAGTTTGACTTGCACGGAAAATTAAGGTGTCTTGTTACAATTCACATTTCCTTAGTCTCCAGAGCAAAATGGTTTTGACAGAGATTTTGAATCGGACAGTAATGGTCATGGAATCAGGATAATCAATGACGAAACTTCCTTTGGTTGTCTTACAGATGCAAGGACAAGTCTGACCCCGCCTAAAAAAAGAGATCTGCTATAAGTTGCGATGAACGCTAATCTTTTTCGTTATGATCGATCGAAGACTGAGTGGATGACCTACTGAGAATTTTGTTCGATCTATGATGGACATGATTACAAAAAACAGATGATCCAACTGAAGGCATTGAGCAACCGGATGAGCCAAAGGAAGAAACAGAAATTCAATCAACATGAAAAAGGTCCACAGAATTAATCATGGCGAACTTACGCAGTTTAGGACAGTTAAGGCAGCAAAAAGTGCCTATTCCATATAGAGATGAATCATATACTTAATATTTCAATCAATCACATCAGAAATTGATCAGCCCGAGAGTGTTCAAGAACCTTGAAAACGTATTGCATTCAATATAGAAAAGAAACTGTAATCTTCAAGTGGTTGGTTGGCTCCCAATAGGTTCTTAAAGTGAAACACGTGTAGCTATGACAGTTTATTGCGCAAAATTAAAATTATGCTTTTAAAATATTTGGTCATGAACCACCAGAGTCCAGAATGAAATTTAAGAGTTGAGAGTAAAAGTCCGGTCAAGATTTTATACAAAACTGTTGTATTCTTTTCGAGAATGAATAACCTTAATGTTCTTCAAACGTTAAATTTAGTGAGGTCAACATAAAGCAACAAACATATATTTTTGTGTACATTGAATTAAGCTATATATCATGCATGCATGAAAAGAAAATTTTTGCAATTAATGTGTCTGCTTCCTATTCACATTTGAAACTTATCCAGAACGATAATTGGGAGCAATATTCATATGTTCATACGGCATGTCATGCATGTATGAATATGCTTCCCTAATCGTCGTTCTAGCTGCGTGCCGAATGTGAAACAGGGATGATTTTAGTTTCTGTTTGATATCTCATCATTTATCCCTTGAAGTATTTCTCTTTTTTATTTTATGAACTTGTGTTGCGAAGAGTGGAAATACATTGGTAAATCAACAAAACATGAAGAAATGATTTCAAAACTAATTGAGTTTGGAGGCAAGATTCCCAATGCTGAGGTCAAAGATGTGAACGGTGTACGTGTAATTTTCTCAGAAGCGTTTTGCATCGGCTGTGGAAGTAATGGAACCCGTGTCTATCTTGGACTGGGAAAGGATGGCTACGGTAAAGCAGTGAAACGAATACTTCGTGATAAAGGCATCAATCTTGCACATAAAGAAAAAGAAATTTTGAATGAATTAAGCGCAAAGGAATCAAAGTTTGTTGTCAATTATCACTGCTTAGAAGAAGACAATGGAAAAGAATATGTCTATTTAATATTGGACCTATGTGAAGAATCGCTGGAGGATTTTGTGCAATCAGAATCAAATAGCTTGGCTTATCTTCAAAAATCTCTTCCCGAAATTCTCAGACACATTTTAAAAGGATTATCTGATCTTCATAGTGGCGAAAATCCTATTCTCCATCGCGATTTAAAGCCTTCTAATGTACTCCGAGATGCACAAGGAAAATTTCTGATAGCTGACTTTGGTATTAGTCGAATATTGAAAGATGGAAGTAAGACAAAAGTAAGTAATCCTAATAAGGGAACTCCGCATTGGATTGCTCCTGAATCATTTGGTACAGAAAAAAATCAGGATGGCAAAGGACGTTACAAAACAGAGTCGGATGTAATGGTAGGTGTTTGCAATTTAAGTTTAATTATTTTTTTTTAAATTTCTTTCATCATATTACGTTGTGATTTATTTTAGACTGCAGGAATGGTAGCTTTTTATGTTGCCACAAAAGGAGACCATCCTTTTAAAACTGAAGAGAATATATTGAAAGGAAACCCTGTTGGCTTGGAGAAAATAGATAATGTCGATCTAAAAGATCTACTGTCATGGATGCTACAGCTAAAACCGGAAGACAGACCATCGGCCAACGAAGCGTTAAAACACCCTTATCTACAAACCGATGAGGAGAATTTCGATTTGCTGTGTGATGTTGGGAATGAACCAGAAATAAAAACATCATCTCCACATTCTCTTCCCTCAAATCTTCGTGAGCAGTTGAATCTTTCAATAGATTGGAAGGGCCGTATCGATGCTGAAGTCTTTAAACATTTCAATAAAGTATCTGACTCTACATGGTTAGGTTGCCTAAGATTTTTGCGAAACGTTCGCCAGCATTGGTATGATAAACCTCGTCCACAACTGTCATGTGTTAAAGATGGAAACTATCAAAAGTATTTTCTTCGACTTTTTATGGAACTGCCTCTTCTAGTTCACAGAACCATACGATTGAGTGACTGGAAGACAAGACCTGTTCTAGAGAAACATTTTCCAAGTAAGACACAGAAATGAGTTTCATTTTCGATGACCAAGCTATAAATTAGGGGTTCATGACACTGTGTTTGTTCTTTTCACTCTAATTCTCCTCTTCATTTATTGTACTTAATGCATGTATGTTTTGAATTCTGTATATTGCCGTTGCAAACATTTTTTAGACAGAGAACATCCTGTAAAACTTGAAGAAGGCAAGGGAAAGAAAAGCGAAGCTGTTGTTGATTACCCTGATCTCAACGGTAAATAGCTATGTAACAACAAACTAATGCTGTGTACGTGTCACTTTTCTAAAATATTCTACCAAAAACCGTAATCCCTCCAGTTCTATCTGGTGCATCGTTTTCTAACTTTGTGCAACTGAAAATAACGGTTCAAGCATGTGTGATAGTACTAGCAATTGTCAAAAATCTTTAGACGAGATTAACGATTTGTCAGATATCCAAAGATAGTGAAGAGTACCTACGAATCATGGTGATTCAGAGACTTTGGCATAATTTTATCGTATGGTAAAAAGAAACTTATAGCTTATTATGTTGTCAAACTTGTAAAGAAGACATGTGCAATAGTAAATATTGCGTATCCTTTGCTTTAAGTCAGCAAATGCTTTCACGTCGTATGCATTAATGCTGAAATTGCGATTCTTCTTTGCATTATTTATCCTAAGTGTAAATGGTCAGATCAAATGACGAAAGGAAAAACAAGAACATTATCGTTTTCAATTTAAAGCTAAAATGTGCCACATCAATGAAGCCATTTTATTGTCTGCAAAAGAGGTTTATGGGAAAGCAATTGGCAAGAAGGAAATCAATGATACCACAATTCAAGATCCTCCTTTATGTATGTTTTAATTTAAGGCTCGTAAGCAAGTTAGATTAAGCTAAGTAACCAAGTTGGATATTACATGGCCAGATTGCTATGAATTTTCATTGGATTTTACAATGTTATATAATTAACTACTTTTTTGTCTTCAAATGACTAACGATCTAAAACTGAAGGCGAATGAAATTTAAATTTGATTTCCATACATCATGTTTCTTATGTAAAATATACAATAAATTTTAACATGTGTAATTTAGTAATACATAACATTTCTTCAAGTATAACAATGTATAACAATACATATAACTATATATAACAATATAATATGGATGTCATGACTTGTAACGCAATTAAGGAGTTGCTCGATCTGTGCTCAAAATCCGTTGTACTTTAGCGTTATATAAGTCTTTCGTATGAGCTCCGAGCGTGAGTTCAATGTACTAGAACGCTATTTAGTTTATGTACGTCACTACAGTACCACTGCAAAGAGTAAAAGATTGATACGCATAAAAAGAACAACTTATTGAATCGGGGAAATTGGTTATATTTTAATAAAATGACACTTTTATGTGAGGTTGTGATCATTTCCTAGTATTTCCTTTGTTGCAGCTTTGAAATTGTTAAAAGAAAATCTGTGTACGTTGAGGTTAATGATGACGAAGTCAAAGTTGAATTTTTGTTCAACTTTTGTCTATTCAAGCTTAGTTGTGTTGCATTTTTCTTGAGACTAAAGTCGTATGTTTTAAGCCACAAGCTTGCATTTATAAATTTCAGTCTTTTAAATAGTTAGCCAGATCTGTCTCTTTCAGTCATTTGTGACTTGTTAGGTCAAGATTTACATTCTCAGTTAATTTCCATTGATTCTATTATTGTAGTGTGTATCATTGGTGTGTATGGAACTTCAAAGTATGAATACTGCCGAGGGACTCCAGCTGTATTGCCTTCATGCATGTTTCGTTATTTTAATTGAATTCTTGTTTATTTTTCCTTTAAATATTATAACATTGTATTAGTCCCAACTCTAGAAATTTCTGAATTGAATGATTCAATTCCTAAAAACGCGAGACGGGTGTCGGCGGCCATATTTTATAGCCACTAATCATCAGAGCCATCTATTTGTAAGAGTTGGGACATCTATTGTTCTCTGTTATGCTTACGTTGATTGGACAATATTGATCACCTGATCAATTTCCGCCATTTTGGTTCCTAGTTTTGAAATTACAGGTAATGTTTATATGGCGATTACTGCTAGTGATATGGTATTTTGAGATAATATTACTTTTTGTTATGGATAAGTGTGTAATATTTGATCGTTGACGGCGACTAAATGTCATTGCATATCGCCAAAATTAAGGAATACGAAAAAAATGAAAGAAATGCTTTTACGTCGAAATTACGAAATTTGATTGCGTATGGTGATTGTTGATTTAAGGCTCACTCAATTGACTAAAGTAGAGGATCATTTTGGTGCCAACTCTAACTGGAAAAGTTCGTGTTAATACTTTTTCAATAGTTTTCTTACAACAAAGCATGTTTTCAATGGAGAATTATGATTTCTAACTATGTTCTGAAATGGGTCATTATACAAATCTCTCAATTCTCAGCCATTTCCACACTAAAACAAACAACTACACCAAATCACAAAAAGCTATTATGATTTTCCATGTTTTTTTTATTTCATTATTTAAAAATGAAGTAATTATAATGAGGATATTCACTGCAACTGCCGAGTACAATATTTTATTGGTAATGAATTGTAAAATTATACATTGCCTTCTGTAGCTCAAAGTAAAACACATAATTTATTTTTCTTCTAGACTTTTCAATGAGATTTTAATAAAAGGTTAGGTCTATATATAACCACAAGGCATATTTCCTTTAATGTATATTACAACTGATGGTGGCCTTCTGATGTATAATAAATGTTGCTGGCTTTCTGATATAAATTTAAATGTTGCTGGCCTTCTGATTTATATTAAAATGTTGCTGGCTTTCTGATGTAAATTTAAATGTTGCTGGCTTTCTGATGTAAATTTAAATGTTGCTAGCTTTCTGATGTAAATTTAAATGTTGCTGGCTTTCTGATGTAAATTTAAATGTTGCTGTCTTTCTGACGTAAATTTAAATGTTGCTGGCTTTCTGATATACATATTTCACTAGCAGTACAAGGCATAGAATTTTAACAAGGGAGCTGAACTCCCTCCAACACAATCTAGTATGGTCATAAAAAAACATACAGAAGTTTTGTCATTCCTCAACCAATATATTTAACTCTTTGATAAATTAAAGATTGGGTTAGACTTAAAATGCTTTATAAAAGACTCTACAAACAGTAACATTTATAGCAAAAAGACTGTTCAACAACAGAAATGTTTCATGTAAAAGAAATAGTATATTCATTTTAAAGGAATGTTTCACCAAAATGTTTAGCAGAATCCTATAAAAACTACACTAGAATTAAACTTTAATTACAATCACACTATCACAGGAAAAACACAAAATCAACTTTCATCTTGGACAAATCATTGCATTTTTCAACAACTAAAAAAGTTTGTCATTTTTTCCTGAGCAAGAAAATTTTGTAATCTGTCAGAATAAAAACTGTCATGCTTGGATCGAATTGGAGGGCATGCACAACTCACTACCATTAAATTGTTATGAGTCGAACAAAAGTCTTGTCCAAATATTTGATAACACTGATGCCAAGATAATATTGCCGCTTACCACAACGCTTAAAGATTTTGAAAACTTGTAACAGAGTCGGAATACATGCCCAAAAACACGTTCACATACGTAAAATACGTCTTACAATGGGCCACGATCAATTTTGAAGCACGAACTATTAAACCACGAATGAAGCTCAAATCAATGAAATCAGGTCTGCCGACAATCATTTAGAAAACGCTAAGAGCTTGCTATTATGCCTGATATATTAGATATTACCACGGAATAAATCCAAATTGATTTCCCTTTTGCATATAAACCCAGTATCTAATATTATTATTATAGTTTCACTTTGCAAGTAGGAACCAAAATGGCGGCTCCGCGCTCACCCCAGACTGTTTGTCCCAACTCTGCTAATCATTCGTAAATCGTTATCCTATGAATATTTATCCAGGGAGTAAGTTGTCGTATAGTCAGAGGTATAGTTAATTAAGTTAGTACTCTGTGCATTCTCTGTGACGCGATGGTGTTGGTATCAGAGTTGTAAATTGACACGTAAGTAAACCTTTTAATAAGTATTACTTTTGGGAAGTCTTGTCTTGGCTTTATCTTTGTCAATCTTTCGGTTTGTCGTTTTTATCTGAACTATTTTGAGTTATTTCTATCAGCGATAAGTGTTGTGAACATTAATGTAAATAAAGAAACAACTTCTTAGTTTCGAGCCGTTTGTGTTCTCCTCTGTGCGGTAAAAATAACTAGAATATATTGACCTCTATAAAAACATGTGTTCACGACTGTAAGAAGTATTCAAGATTGTAAAATAGATAATGACATAGATAAATACATGACATGTATGTATAAAAAATGCATGAATCAATAAAGTAGATAGAGTTTGTAAAACGGTGTAAGCAAGGCATGTGTGAAAATAAAATGGATAAGGGTCACTTGCTTGACAAATTAGCAGTCATTGATATCTTATAATTTTGCCAAAAACACCCAAATTGCTTTTTCCTGAAAGTAAAAGCTAACGAGAATAAATGCACAAATATGAAGCTTATAAACATAACTAACCATGCATGAAACGTTAACTCTTATCTTGCATTGTAGCTTCCTGGTGAACATGGGTCACAAAGCTCTTGGAATGAAGAAAAACCATTATGCAAGAATTAGATTATAAGTAAAAGTAAGCTTTGGTTTTATTAAGTACATATAGTGAATGTAATTTGCATTGGGAATGCAAGCCATATAATTTAGTTCTTAGTCATGCCACTTGTGCAAAGCAAAGGACTTGCTGTTTGAATTTAGATTCCCCACATTGTTCACATGTCTTGCGAATGTTGTGAAAATACTTATTTAAAGACATATTTATCAGTACTCAATCTTTCTGGTGTGATCTACAATCAAATAGGATTATGTACTTCATTTCTTTGCCAGGTTAAGACATAAAAACTTCTTGTGTTAACAGTATATAGATTAGGTTTGGTTCACAATATAAATCCTAAGAGATTTGACTCCTCTCCAATCCTTTTTGGCTTGGTAGCTCAGCAGGTAGAGCGGACAGACTAGTATCCCAAAGGTGCGAGTTTAGTCTCATCCAAGTCACATGTTTTTCATGTTCATATAAAAACCGTGTTAGGATTTATATTATATATAGATAGGATTTAAAACATAATAGATATCATAGCATTTTAAATCTTAAGCTTTATACAAAAAATAAGTTTGGGGATCTACAGATATAACATGAAAATTTTGTGAGGTTTATCTACTGGCATGAAAGCAAAGCTGTTATTTTGATCTGATGACATTTTGAAAAGAATCAACTGCTTCATAATCAAAATAGAAGAATTGCGTACATGTGAAATCTTTAGCTATGTGTGAATACGTTTGTGATATTTTGTTTATATTGAAAGTAAGATTAAAAATGCAACCAAAATCTGAAATGCTAAAGCTAGCACAAAAGAAATGAGTAACCAAATTTAATGCACCTTGTTGTATAACTTTATGCACTAAAATATGTGACAAGCAAAGTTAAAAATAAAAATAACTTGTATACTTTAGTCAAATATGTTTGTGGCCAGATACATTGTTTTTATTTAAACAAGATTAGGTAGGACTTGATCTGCTGGTCGATATCCAATACCATCTTACAAATGATTTGTGTACAATATTCATACTAATACCAAGTATTGTTTTGCTATTACTCATTTATACACTTGGCAATCAAATACTTCATGAAATACCTCATTGTGTTTCAGAAAATGTTTTCAAGATTTTACAATTTTGGAGAAATCATTGTTAAAATTTGTAAAATTACCCCTATATGCTTGGAAGAAAGTTTTTATAAATTTGATTGTTGTATAGTATATTGTGAAATGTAACAAACTGTTCAAATAAAGTGCTATTGGTATGAAAATCTGGTTTTGATGTACCCCAAATTGATGGTATCATATCACCCATCCACAATGTCAGGCTATGGTTACGTAGCTGAGGCGTAGCCAGCTCGATAATTGGAAGGCAATATTCGTTTATAATCTGTATTAAATTCCTTTGAAATCCATTGTTTTCTTGAGATTACAACATACATATATCAGTATTGGCTCCCCAATTATTGATGAAGCAGTCTACGCCACTGCTACGCAGCAGATAAAGCAATGGTAGAAACCACGAGTATCACGTGTGTAATCGAGGTGTAATCCCATATGTAATCATCGTCTGCCATACTACATGCTGGGACTGCACGCTCATCCCAAATGCATTTTGTAAGCTAAAATATCAAATTTTCCAGCTGTAAGATTTAAGTCCGTTGGAGCAAGGCGTGACAAAAATATCTATAAATTTGTTGAACTTTAATAATGTCTTCCCATGATACCAACTTAAGTCTTCCATCATGTGTGTGTGTGTAGGGGTCAGATGTAAATTCTCGAGTGGAGTAAGTATTCAAAATTCCAAATGAAAGTTTTCATTTACTTTGATGAATGAAAATTCGTATGCTTTGGAAGTAGAGACTCTAACGACAAAGTTTATTTTTTTGTCTTTAGTTGAATATGGAATGACTTTAACATTTGGCCATTACAACTGACGCAACAAAGAAGAATCTTCTGTTGACTTGTAGATTCCATACATGGGTAATTGCTGCTGTCCAGAAATTGACACCTCCCCCGTTGTCGAGGTAGCTTTCTTGAAAGAGGGGAATCGTGGTATGATCTGTTCTTAACAGTCCCTCAAAACAGGCCCTGTGCACAAAAAATAATAATTGGATTAGCAATTTAATCACCCAGATTCAAAATATGGACTGTACATTTCAACCTATCAAAATTTCAAGTAATTTGGTGCACGCTTTGGTAAACTCGATGTCTTCAAAACTTGGATTTTTCGAGTTTGTGCATTTCAAACAAAGTTTGTTCTATCACATCAAGTTCAATTTATGCATTATCAGGAAATGCATGAATTACAATATGAAATTATCAACTCCAGTTCTTGAAAGTGAATTTGTTATATAAAGCAAGGTATGAAATACAAAAACGCAAAAATCCATGTTTTCAGCGCGTGCGCCAAAAATTTGAGATTACGATAGAATTGTTTTTCTTTTGATTATTTTTTTCAAAAGGTCTGTTTTGAAGGATTTTTAACAACTATGTAGAAAATCTTGCATTTTCCAACTTTTAAGTGCCTGCCATGTCAAAAAAACGTTAAAATACTTAGAATTAGTAAAGGTTTTTGGTTATTTAGCGTGCATCTACTTTTCAAGAACTTTTTTCCTAGAGTCAATCATTTTCTATACACCTTGTATATTAACTATAGATTTATTGCTAGCACTTGAAATTCATCATTGAAAATTTACATAAAGCCTGTTTTTTACGTCGCATTTTACATGAGTCGATTGCATACAAAACTAATGAGGAATTATATCTGAATTTCTTTTGTTTTAAATGCATTCGACGCATGTAAAATGCGACGTATAAAACAGGTTGTTTTTCACAGAAATGTTTAGTGTGGAATACGCTTTCTTTTTTAACGCACATGCATATTTTCGACAAAGTAACTTTTATTTTTTCACAAAAGTTGGTCTTAGTGGTAAAAATTCTACCTGAATTTGCCTGTTTAAAAGCTTGCTTGCCCTAAACTTGAGATAGGATGCATTGTATACAATTGTATCAGTTATCAGCAATATGCTTCACTCTTGGTAGCATTGTTTGTTTTAACGAGTAATTTATGATATATTGGTTGTTAATAAGTTGTTTTGACGATTTGCATGTTGCTATTCGAATTCTCAATTTAGAAACTTGTGCTACTTTAGGGCCCATTCACACTAACACTTTAAATCGATTCGAAATCGATTAGAGTCCGTACGAGAGCTAATGTGAACACTTACAAGTGATGCGAAAACGAATTCGATCAGAAATAACTTCGGCCACCTCAAAAGGTTGTCTTAGAGTCTCGAATCGGATTAGTCTGCATGATAATGTGAACATGCAACACGAATAGAATCGGATCAATCTTGATCAATCACATGTTTTTAGCTTAGTAGCCAGGCTTTTAGTGCGAGGACACATATCACGCGTTTCATGCTATGTTTGCTTGCAGCAATATTTTACAGTTATAAGCAAATATGTTAAAATAGTTCTAAAGATAGCAAATACCATAGTGAATGGTAAAGGTATTATAAGTTGATAGTTCTTTAAAGAACTGTTTTAAGTGAAGAGCACTAGGACCAGTACTTGCTAATATTTTCGTAGGCTATAATGAGTATAAGATGTTTGCCTCTTCTGGGCCTCTGGAAGTGCTGTGGTACAAACGTTACATTGACGACACCTTTTCCCTTTTTCGTAACGACAAAAATCGCCAATTATTTCTACATAAACTCTGTTCTGTTCACCCTTCTTTAAATTATACGTCTGAACATGAATCAAATTGTCAGTTAGCGTTTTTGGATGTTCTTGTCCATAAACGCAATGTTCAATTCCTTACAAGCATTCATCGCAAGGCAACTTTTACGGGTTTGTACACACGCTTTGACGCTTTTCCTTAACACAGAGAAAAGATTTCTTTAGTAAAGTGTTTAATAAAGCGAACGCTTAGACTGTCCTCAGAGGAGTTCATTTAGAATCATTTAAGAAATGCCCTTCATTCTTTCTGTTACGCGTCTTGGAGGCTGTTTTAATTAAGTTAACCAATCCGTCCTCTGCCGACAAAAAGATTATGTTTTTAATTTATCCCTGTTTTGAGTGTCATCTCCCCTTTTTGAGATGACGTACACTCTTTCTTGGCATTATAAATATCGAGAGATTGTAAATTTTCATTTAGCAGACCTTTACACCTGAGGAGTAGTCTGCCGAAATGCATCGTGTCGTTTAATTTAGAACTATTGGGTTAGTGCTCTTTACTTAAAACAGTTCTTTTAAGAACTATCAACATATTGTATTACTTTTACCATTCACTATGGTATTTGCTATCTTTAGAACTATTTTGAGATTTGTCACCACGACAAAGTCTCTATTTTATTATTTAAGCAAATATTTCAAAACGCGGAGAAACCTGATTTAATGAAGAAGTGATGGTACTTATTTCTATTTGGGGGTCTGAAGAAATACAAAAGAAACTAAGTACTACGCACAAAAATGCAGATATTTACAAAAAAATACTATCATTTCGACATTTCTTTTGTTGGCGATTTTAATTTCAAAAGAAATCAGCAGGGCTGAGTGTCTAAATATTCACTTACCACCTTCCCTCCCCAATTAGCGCTCTAGTTTTGCCTCTGAATGCATTATACCAATAATACTTCACCTGAACTGAATGCTTTAATGAGTGATTTATAAAATGGTTGTAATTAAGTTGATGTGCTTTTAATTCCTATCCAAATCATTTATTCAATGGCGGAGCTTGAGTTATTTCAAATTAATCGATTTTCTTGTTTTAATAATCTTTAAAAGTAATATTTTTACTCCAGTTTCAGAATTGCAGTGGAAATGCGTTGATGAATCAACTAAACATAAACAATTGTTTTTAAAAATGATTAATTATGGACGAGATCCCAAAGTCAAGGTTGAATATATAAGCGATGTACGTGTAATTTTCTCCGGAGAATTTTGCATCGGCAAAGGAAGTGATGGAACTCGTGTTTATCTTGGACTGGGACAAGATGGCTATGGAAAAGCAGTGAAACGAATATTTCGTGATATCTGCATTGGGCTTACACAACAAGAAAAGAAAATTTTCAAAGAAATCATCGAAAAAAAATCGAATGATGTTGTGAATTATTTCTACTTAGAAGAAGACATTACATCAGAATATGTTTATTTAATACTCGACCTGTGTGAAGAATCGCTGGAGGATTTTGTGCAATCGGAATCAAATAGTTTGGCTTATCTTAAAAAATCGCTTCCCAAAATTCTCAGACAAATTTTAAAAGGTTTAGCTCATCTTCACAGCGAGCCACGTCCTATTCTTCATCAAAATTTGAGGCCTTCTAATGTTTTCCGAGACGCACAAGGCAAATTTTTAATAGCTGATTTTGGTATGGGTCGAATTTTGAAGAATGAATCTAACACATTACAAAGTGGCACCAAAATGGGAGCTGGGTATTGGATTGCTCCTGAATCATATTGTAAAGATGAAGATTCAGTTGATAAAGCACGTTACAAAAAAGAGTCTGATGTAATGGTAGGTTTAGAATTGTACCATTTGCAAATCGAAATGTAATTTATTAACATTTTAAAAATGCTGAAAAAACGTTTTCTTGATTTTAGAATGCAGGAATGGTGGCTTATTATGTTGCAACAAAAGGGAAACATCCTTTTGGGCATCCAGAGTATAGACTGAAAAACTTGTTAGATGGAAACCCTGTTGGCTTAAAGGAAATCGACGATGTTCAACTTAAAGATCTACTTTCATGGATGCTACAACTTCTACCTGAACTAAGACCATCTGCCAACGAAGCGTTAAAACACCCTTATCTACAATCCGATGAAAAGAACTTTGATATGCTTTGTGAGATGGCAAACCAACCAGGGATGGAGATACCGTATTTAGGTCATCCTCTCAATTCAGATGTGCGTGAGCAGTTAAATGAGTTAAAAAATTGGAAAGATCAAATTGATCCTGAAGTCTTTAGTGATTTCAATGTGGGACATTACGATGATACATGGTTAGGTTGCTTGAAATATATACATAATGTTCACCAGCATTGGAATGATGTACCTCGTTCAAAACGGCGTCAAAGTGATGGTAATTATAAAATATATTTCCTGCAAGTTTTTCCAGAGCTTCCTCTTTTGGTCAACAGAATTATAAGATTAAATGAATGGAAGTCAATACCAGATCTTGAAGAACACTTTTCAAGTAAGTTACAACATTTAGATATTTGCTTAGTTTAAACAGTGTAGTTAGATTTGTGATAACTTTAGAGGTGAAAACAGCCTTAATATCAACGATCCTCAAAAGAAACATCTTGCTATGGAAAATGAAAGGCTTGAACTTAAGATATATAATCAATTGAGTTAGTCAATGAAGCAAATTAAGTTTTTTACTCAATTACTTAAGTTTGAGTTGCAGCACGTCGGATAATATTAGGGGCATATTTTTTTGGGAATACAGGAGGGTGCGAATATTCTCCTCCCAAATTCTCTAGTACCCTCTAACAGAAATTTTAAAATAGTGTTACATACTGTAGAGTAATATTATAACAGTATCTGAAGTAAGGAAACTGTGCAGTAGGACTGAGTAAAAACATGTTTTATATGACCACCATTTGCAATTGAGTTACTAACATGCGTGTTTTCATTTAAACAATAAAATCGAAATACAAAGTAAGCAAAGTGCTTAATGCAAAGTAAGCAGTTTTATCATGTCAATTTAGTTTGCCGTTTCTTTTCTCCTCCCTTGTTTGTCATGTGTGAAAACGACTGTTGTATTCGTGTTTCACTCGTCGTTGGCAATTTACTTAACTTTGCGAAAGAAAAGCTAATTACTCTTTCATTTCGCAAGATTCACTAATCCGTAAGCATAAAAAGCCACAACAGCCCGAGGCCTTGGTAACCTTGGCTAAGATTACGATGCACCCCCTTCTTTGGAAAATCTACACCCCTCCTGTCAAATGAGTATTGATTCACCCCTGGATAAAACCAAAACAATGTCATTTATGTAGTAATGATTTACAATGAAAGTCTCATATATAGCCAGTTATAGAAAATAAGGGATAGCAAGAAAGACGAGAGAGAAAAATTATGCATTTAAATGGTGTTTTGGTCTCCAATATCGTTTCCAGTATTTTGTAAATTTTAATACACGAGACGAATGGTTATTTATGACTTTATGTTTTACCTTTATACAGTGTTGACTTGACAGAACTTATAAATTCACCAATAAAAAAATTAATATAATAATAATTATATGGCTCACTCAATAAACCGTATTCAATTGCTTTTCAGAGCTGGTGGTGTCAAAAGCGTTTTAATGCAGTAAAATTAACTTTTTGTCATTACTTATTTGACGTCCGTGACTCTCCAGTCCTACCTGAAGCGACTCCTTAGATAACTAATTTATGATTTATTGCAAAGTTCTTCGTCAGACTTGTAGGCAATGAGGGAATTTGAGCTACTTTTTTCCGTTTAGTCATCCCTTCTTGTAACAATCGTATGTCATTTTAGAATTGCAGTTGCAAGAATGGAAATACATTGGTGAATCAACAAAACATGAAAAATTGTTCTTACAAATGATTGAGTACAGGCACAATCCCGACGTTGAAGTCAAATATTTGAATGATGTACGCGTAATTTTCTCAGAGGAATTTTGCATTGGCAAAGGAAGTAATGGAACCCGTGTTTTTCTTGGACTGGGAAAGGATGGTTACGGTAAAGCGGTGAAACGACTACTTCGTGATGAATGCATCAAACTAGCACAACAAGAAAAGGACATTTTTAATGAAATCAAAGCAAAAAAGTCGAAGTATGTTGTGAATTATTCCTACTTAATAGAAGACACGGGAACAGAATATGTCTATTTAGTACTAGACCTATGTGAAGAATCGCTGGAGGATTTTGTGCTTTCAGAATTAAATAGTTTGGCTTATCTTCAAAAATTGCTTCCCAAAATTCTTAGACAAATTTTAAGAGGATTAGCTGATCTTCACAGAGATCCGCGTACAATTCTTCATCGGGATTTGAAGCCTTCTAATGTTCTTCGAAACGCTGAAGGAACATTTCTGATAACTGACTTTGGTATTAGTCGACTGTTAAAAAGTGATTACGCGACATTAAAAAGCAATGCTAACAGGGGAACTCAGTATTGGATTGCTCCTGAATCATATAGTGCTGGTGAAGTTTCATTTGATATAACACGTTACAAAAAAGAGTCGGATGTAATGGTAGGTGTTGAAATGTAGCAATTTGCATATTACGAATTAACTCAATTATTTGATTTACACTGACGCAGTCATGTTTTATTGGTTTTAGAACGCAGGAATGGTGGCTTATTATGTTGCAACGAAAGGAAAGCATCCTTTTGGATCTTTAAAGAATAGACTTCCAAACTTGTTGAATGGAAATCCTGTCGGATTGAACGAAATCAAGGATGCTTCACTCAAAGATCTTCTGTCGCGGATGCTACAACAAAAACCGGAAGACAGACCATCTGCTGACGAGGCGTTAAAACACCCTTATCTACAGTCTGATAATGAAAAATTTGGCACAAAATAAATGAGCAGTCAAATTTAAATACACCATATTTTATACACTCAAATATATGAGAAAACAAGTAAAAAATAGAAACAACTTGCATACTTTTTTTAATGTAATACGTTTATGGACAGATCCATTGTTGTTGTTTTTTATTTCAACGATGTCAGGTAGTTCTTTGTGCGTTGGTCAATATCCAATACCAACGATTTATATAAAGTATTGATTCTAACAGAAAATATTTTTAGATGTTTATATTAAGCCTGCACTGTCAATTGTACTCATACACTTGTGAATAAAAATAAGTTTGAACTTTTAAAAAATGTAAAAAAAACGTAGTTATTCTGACATATGTTTTCACATATCATTTGCTTTTGCAATTCTAACAAATAGTGTTATTCTGTATTTGTTTTGCACTCCACATTATTGTCGGTAAATTTAGTATTTACTCGTTTGAGCGCCGCAGAGCTCTTCGAATTTTAGAACTTTGGATGCCGCGCTCATTTGGGAGCAGTGCTCTTCAAAAAGATCTGTCAATTGTGCATTGTAACAAGAAGATTTAACATCAAATAAACACGTTTTTACAATATTTTTACAAGAAAATAAATTTCCGAGAGTGAGATTTATAGTTGTTTTTTGTTAGAGTCTTCATCAGTTTTAAAGCTGTGTCGATAAATCATGCATTAAATAATTAATGCAGAGCTCATTTGGGTGCGGCGCTCTTTAAAAAATATTGTTTAAATATGCTGCTGTCATTCGAGTGAGGAGCTCGTTCTGGGACAGCGCTTAAAGGAGTAAATTCTCGGAATGATTAACCTTCTGGAAAAAATAACACTCAAAAAATGTTTTATTTCGTTTATGACATTCAAAGGATTCTTCTTGAAATTTAATGGTGTCTTTGCATAATACCTTCTTAAGTTTTCCATCTTTTTGGGGAAGGGGCAGACGTAAATTCTCAGGTGGAGTAACTGGCAGACGACAACTTTGTGTTTTTATTATTAAATATGAAGTAATATTCCTTTCTTACTCCTGAGTAGTGACCTGATGACTTCATAAATTTGTCTTATATTACAAGTCGATCAACTTCGCTCAACTAATGTAAGACAAATTCCTGAAGTCATCAGGTTATCACTCAGGAGTAAGAATGATTTCCCATGACAAACTAGTATATTATCAATTACAATGAGGGTTCCGTAAATTCTATTCTACAAAAACTGCACTCATACGTCTAATCGACCAAGACTTAATGGATCTTGATAAAAGTAAAGTATCTGGGCTTTTTTCAATTGATTACATAAAAGCTTTTGCATGACTAGGTCGATCATCAACTATTATTGCATAAAATTAAATCATACGTGGTTCACAGAAGCGAACTTTAAAGCTTCTTCGCAATTATTTACATGATCGTCTTCCATATGTCCAAATTTATGATAATCAGACAAGCTTATCTGGCCTCCGGTAAAGAAGTTTTTTGAGACCTTTGTTATTTCTTCTTTTTATAAATGACATGCCTTCAGCAATACAACGTTACTTATTCATCTGCATACAACTTGATATGTATGCAGATGAATAAGTAACTATTCAGAAAAGTGGGTCTACCCACTTTATGCTCGAGAAATCGAAGGTGGCAGCTCGTTTGCAGTGTCAGTCTCACGATGTTCTCTTTAATTAGATTCATCTGTTAACTCATTTCGTAAAAGTCCTGTAAAGACATTTCGAATTTTGTAAATAGTAAATACACTTTCTTGTCTATGTAATATTTTACTTTACGTAGTATAGTTTCATTGTAATTATTTAGATGTTAGGAGCGTTTATCAGTCTTAAACTGTCTCGTGTTACCCTCATGAAATAAAGTTGTTAATAAAAAAAATTAAATATCCACCCGTAGTTGTGTAAGTATTCCAATTCCCAATGAGAGTTTTCATATTGTTTGATCAATGAATATTTGTATGCTCTTGAGATGAAGACTCTAACGACAAAATTGATTTTCATATTTCTAGTTAAATATGGAATGGCTTAAACATTTAAAAACTACAACTGACTTAACAAAGAAAATTCTTTTAACTTGTAACTAACAGTAGATACTATACATGGATAATTGCTGCTGTTCAAAAATTGACATTTCTTTTCCAGTGTTGGATTTAACCTTAAGATTAATAAGCTCATTGAGCTGCATGTTATATACGTACAATCAGAAGCTATGTACGGTTCTTGATTCTTGAAAGAAGAGGAATCTAGTACGAAAATGGACACTGCAAAAATTGTTTGGAAGTCGCAAACTAAAATATCGATTATATAGCGTTAAAAATCATGGCATATTTTTGTCTTTGTAATTACGCTTACACATTCTCTGAAAAACGATAGAAAGGGTTGAATTGTTTTGATCATTGTTTTTGCTTGAATGTTTCTTTTGAATTGAAAGGAAATGTTTTCAATATCAATTTTATCTTGGCCTAGAGAGTGTCACTGAAGAAAGTAGGATATGCATGGAGTACGAAATAAAAAAAGATTAAATGATCTGCTTCTGCCATAATGCACAGGGAGGATTGAATAAGCTGCTAGGAAATTAAAGTAAATGGTTTGAACCCGGGAGTATCGTAACATGTTTGTGGATGAAGATCGTCCAAGTTAATAGAGTCCTGACAAGGACTGTTGGTATTAATGCAGACTAACAACCTTGGCGGTAGTCATCTTTAGAGTCAAGCCTAGTGGTAGTCTCTGAAAATGACTACACCACTAAAGTTGTCGAAACGTCAGTCTACATCAATACCAACAGTCCTTCTCAGGACTCTACTAACCTTCATCCAAAAACATGCTGCTTGCCTTTGAAATTATTAGAAATCTAGTATTATAGAAATCTAGAGCGTTATGAAGGATTCTTTCTTACTGATTGTCAGTAAGATATTATTTTGAAATTCGTGGGAGTCCGTGAAAAAGAAGTCACGGTCCATTCCTAACTCAAAATACGTTTTTCTAAACAAAATTAAAATCGAGTAGAAGCAGAGCATCTCTGCTTGTATCAAATGAATTGTATTTCTGTCGTCATATTTCACTTATAACTTTCTTTTACATTTTATTGACTTGTTATATATTTTACTTATTTTTTATGATGGAGACAAAAATCGTTATGATCATCAACTGAAGACAAGTTAGGTAAAATCGGTGAGTTTTAATGGAGTGGAGATTAGTTAAGTAAGATGAATGTTAATTTTTTAAATGGAAACATCGATATTAAACTCTACTAAAAATGTAAATAAATATTCACAAAATAAACTTAGAAATAAAAATGGTTTTATAACCATTAAGTTGGTTGAATTAATGTGAAATAGCAATTTACGTTGCTAGTTGCTGCCTTTATATAGGTTTATTATCTGCGAATTATACAAGGATTGACAGTTTGTTTATCATCAACCATCAGGGTGAGTAACCACAGTAGGTATTGTTTTATTTCAAACTAATATTTTATTTCTTTGTTTGGTTTTGTGTATATTAGCTTGAGATTATTGAAATCACTTCTTTAGAATAATATGAAAAGATAAAATGTGATAATTTGCTGTATTAAATGAAAGTTTAAACTGTGTCTTGAGTAGTATACAGAGCGTCGTTTCTGGCGCAACCCCGGTTTGGGAGGCTGCGTACATACATTTGAGCGTCCCAGCCCTAGTTAGCAGTTCTAGCGCACCCCGGTCTGTAGACTGCCAGTTCTAGCTCACCTCAACTTGAGAAAGCGTCATTTCTGGCGCACCTCACAGTTTGAGAAGGAGTATACACAAATCTAAGCGCCCCAACCCTAGATCGCGTACGTATGCTAGCATAATTACAGCGAAGGCCAAATCCTGGAGAACGGCAGGAGCCAAAGACGGCCGGCCCACACCCTGTGCCCGCGCGGCCGTCCGTCTGGGGTCTATTAGTTCTGATGTGATAATTAGTTCTGATGTGATAATTAGTTCTGATGTGATAATTAGTTCTGATGTGATAGTTAGTACTCGTCGAGAGAGTTCCCCTCGAGAACCCAGTCCAACATGCTTAGGTGGGCATCTACTCGCTCCCTAGCAAGCACAACTTGCCGTTGGAGTTCCTCGGAAGCAGCCCGGAAGAAGCGGTGAGGCCACCCCCTAGATCTCATCAGCTCCTCAACTAGCTTTTCTCGGTGCCCAGGCGACTCGATATGCTTACACAGCCATTCTACATCCCCGCCGCTGTCGTCACACAAGTGGCAAACGAATTTCATAGCTTTGCCAGCCAACCACGCACGGTTATGCCGCCGACCATTGAAATGCTCGGCTAGATTCATGACGCTCATAGCGCCAGTTTGACATGCCAAACACTCCATACCACTGACACTATTTCATACACACCGTTTTATTCAACTACTGGTTTTCCCTCGCGAACAAAAGAGATGTTTACCGCGGTGATTTAGTATGATCACAGCTTCGATCTGTTGCCCCTGGCGTGTGTGGGGTGATTAAAACTGTCACACCAAGATGATGCAACTCTGTCAATGGCGCACAAAGTTTATGTCTAGCGTGAATCGCCATCCGTCACTTGACGCTGGATTTTTTCATAGCATCCATGCGCCCGAGCTGAATGCCCTCCTCACGCATGCTCGCACGTGCAGCGCCCAGCTGTGCTTCTAGCTCTCGAGTCTGTTCGCAGAGAGCTCTCTTTGTCTGGCTTCTAATTTTGTCTTTTAAAGAAGCGAAGCGCTCAGCTTCGTCCGAAATGAGCTGGTACACACTTTCGCTGCAGTTCCCATCTCGAAGCGCTTGGATCGTGATCAGCGAGATTGTTCGGAGCACGGTCTCAGTGGACGTCCGAATGCGATCGTGGTTTACAGCTTTCTTCTCCAATCTGCGGCTCACGACCCGACCAATGAAAGTAGCCGTGCTGCAAACAGCTGCTAGGCCTTCAAACACGATCCCGACAGGAGTTAAGACAACGGTACTGAGTACGGCCACATCACTAACAGCACTGCCCACAGTGATAGCAGACAGGGCATTGCCCGCGCCGTCTAACCCGTTCACAGCTCTTATGTACTTTTTGTAGAGCGTTTGGCGGGCTTCCATTTCCGTGTGCAATCGGTACGTATTTCCGGCACGCTCGCAGTAGGCAGCGTAGGATAGAGAGGCGCCGTCGACACCGGAGGTGAAGAAGGGGGCGCGGAGGGCTCACACGAGGTAATACTGCTCCAATAGCAATGTCACTATAGAACCAACGGTAGCGTCTGTTGAAGAAAACCCAATAACTGCCCCCGCGTCAACCTCTAGTGCAGAGTGGAAAACTGTAAAGACTGAAACTTGCCCGCGTGGCTTGCGCACTTGGAAAGTTGTCTTCTCGACATCGTTCACCTACAGCCGGACGGTTGCAACATCGTTTACAGCAGCCGCAATCCCCATGCGAAGCAC